AATTTCCTACCCCTATAACTCGGCCAAAACTCAACCGATTCTTGTAAGTTTTGGATTAATGTACGTGGTTTGGCCTCTAGATCAATTTGGCATCTAAATCTGGCAACATCATTTTTAGTCCAAATTCATGTCCAAATCTTACCCCCCTCACAATTTTAGCTTGGTCAAAACTCAAAAGATTTTTATATGGTTGACTTTTTGTTCAGAACTTAAAGCCAAGATAATTTTGGGATATTATTTATTAACTATTATTAATTTTTTATTTATAATTATATATAAATTTACATAAATATTCTTCAAACCAAATTCCTGTTTAATGCTCTAAACTGTGGGAAGAATTTACAACTCTCTCAAGAAACGCTGCGTGCAAATCTCTATTCAAACCTCAAGTAGGCGTATTTGTTGTTGCAAACAGTCTCGGCTACGCCAATGATACCCTATAATAGCTGAGCGATACACATGGCACGGCTTTGTGCCAGAGGAAGACAACAAAGCGCAGAGGAAATGCACACTTTAGAGCGTCTTTGGCGCATAATGAGGCCAAGTAACAATATTGTAAACAACAACAGGACCAACACGTCAACGCCTCTAAGCTGCTAATGAAGTAGCTGACACAAAGGACGAACCGAGCCGAGCCGAGCCACAAAGGTCGCATGCTGCGATAAGGATCACGATTACATTCACAGCGCAGCTGAGTGGCAAATGGGGAGGCTACTGTAGCCGAGTTATATCCTTACAACATGGCCGCAAAGCGATCCTGCGACCAGGTAAAAGAAGCAGACGCGAAGCCAAGTCGAATGCGGTGAGAGTAAATGTGGTTTCTGCTGTGGCTAAGGAACTGCCAGACAGACAGACAGACTGATTGTCAGGTCAGGTAGACAGACATATCCTCGCTGTTCATTTAACAATCGCACTCGGCTTGTAAAATCATAATCCTGCCGTTGTGTGTCGAGTGCACTCACACACACACACGCAGGCAGACTTTCAATAAGCGGATTGGCCAAAACAAAGTTCGAGTTTTGTGTTTGATGTCCTGCGGCGCATATTAACATTATCAGCTGTGCCAAGGCGAAAGACAATCAGGCAAAACAAGGACAATATTATCGGAGCGTTCTAATTGTTCGAGTCTGTGTCCTGTGCACAAATAATGTGTGAAATTTTACGCCTGACGGAAGGCGCCTGCTGTGCACCAGAGAGCGAGAGAGAGTGGGAGGGGGAGAGTCTGAGAGAGAGAGAGGGGAGGCAGAGGCTGAGGCTGAGAGTCGCCTCATTGGCCTAATCAGCAAATGCGTTTAAGTGATTTAAGGATAGACGCGCTTAATGCTCGCCAAATCGAATTCCTTGCCGCACTGAGACAAATTTGGTTAGCCAACGGCTCGAGCATTGCTCGAGTCCTTATCGAGTGTGCACAAGCTCCTGCGCTCAGCCCACCTGGCATTATTTGACGATTGCATTGCACTTCTGTCTCTCACACTTTCCCGCTGTATTTATACCCTGACCTTATTGAATATGTGTTAAGAGGTATATGGCTTTTATGAAACAGCAGGAAATGTGCACTCTTTACTACCATGACTCCTCGAGTCGAGCGGCATCTATCTAGCCGTGTTCGTCTGCCTATCCTGCCTAGATGAATGCACTGTTTCGGCAACTATAAAAGACTCAAATTTTTATTACGATATCTCCTATTTTGATTTTGAGACTTGGTTTATAGAGTATATCTCGAGAATTATAAGAGTGAGAGACATCAAATATATAGTATATAAACCTTCCTCTAGTTATCACAGATCCAGAATATATCACTTTTTAGATACCTCTTCCCAGTTAAGCTTAGAATTGTTAAGTACACATTATAGTCTTGGGTTTTGTTTTAAGCTTTAAAATTTCATAACGATCGGACTATAAGCACCGATAATGTGGGGCGAAGGAAGTTAGAAAAATGGTCTGCAGCATATCTCCCAGTCGGGCACTCCCTACAAGGACAATCTACCTTGTGTTTTTTTAGTTCTTTTACGGCTTTCTGGCCAACCGCTTTCAATTGAATTCGCGTCAGTTTAACGAAGTTTTTCAAGCGGAAACGGAAATTTCTTTCGCATGTTTGTGAGGCGTCAATTTGTTTGAATTGAACTGAGCTGCAGTTAAGTGACTTGTCAGTATATTAACTGGCTGTCAAATCTGCCTGCAGAAAGGCTTTTGGCATTGAATATTATTCCTATTATTTTATTTGCTGACCTTTGACGGCGTACTTCTGCTACGGGCTGCGGCTCCCAGGCAGGTGTATAATTTGAAGACAAAGTAATAAACCTTAACAAATCCTGGCCTCTTGCGTCGCAACAATTTCACAAAGTTGCCATCAAAGTGCGCGCCCAGGGATTTGGCAACGCCTTCCACATATCTCAGTGTCTGCTCGGGGTTTTTCCATTTCAGGTACTTCTCATCGATCAGATCCGGTCGATAGAAGTGTATGAAGGCGCAGAAGGCGTGACCCGTGCTCCAGGATGTGGAGAACTCGTACATCGGTATGCCATAGGGCCGCATTATCTTTTGGCACAAGATGAGCAGCTCGCGGTGCCGATCGCCAAAGGTTTTACCATCAATGGAGCATATATTGGCAGCTCGCTTTAGCTGAGAGGCCACAGCATCCACTTCGACCTGCTTCTGATGCATTGCTTTGGGTTCCATCGCGGTTGTGGACACATCCTCACCCTTTAGACTGAAATCGAGTAGGGTGTCCGAATCTGAAGATTCCTCTAGGCGGATTTTATCTTTGATCTCGGATTGCTTTACAGAACATTGGGAATCTCTTATGGCCAGCTCCCGCAGGGCTCCATCCAAGCTCTCAGACAGTTTTTTATTCATCTCTAGCTCTTTTCTTAGCTTGTTCTCAGCCAGTTCCTTGGCCAAGTGCGCACGCCGTCTCGATGTTTGCGACTTAAGCACCAGCAAGCTCTGCCAAATCAGCTCCAAATCGCGTATAGCCTCCTTATTCGATAGACTCAATACCGATAGATATTCGTCATCTGCTTCCTCTTCACATTTATGCGTATCTTCCATCTTGAAATCGTTTTGCAGTCGTTAATGCTAAATTATAATATTCAAACACACTCGAAAGACACTTCAAAATGAGAGAAGAAGTAGGAATAAGTTTATACGCTCAGAATAAGTTTGGGTTCTAAAAGCAAGGCCAACTGGCCTTCATCTAATCCTTTAGCTACATTTTTCTAGTAACTAGACGAAAGAACTTCGGGAATTCTCGCTTGTTATTGCAATGACGAACCTAACCGAACTTGCCTACGATTCTCTGCATTTGAACCGGCGACTTTTCGCATGTTAGTCCGACGCTCAAACACCTGGGATTCTTTGCATTTTAATGGACAACTTCTTGCTTGTTAGTCCGATGCTCAGACTCATAATCGCACATGCCTACGACTCTCTGCATTTGAGCCGGCGACTTCTCGCTTGTTAGTCCGATGCTCAAACTCCTGGGATTCTTTGCATTTTAGCGGACAACTTCTTGCTTGTTAGTCCGATGCTCAGACTCATAATCAAACATGCCTACGACTCTCTGCATTTGAACCGGCGACTTCTCGCTTGTTAGTCCGATGCTCAAACACCCAACCTAACTTGGGATGCTTTTCAAGCGCACATCTATAAACGAATTGCAACTCAATTAACCCTAAACGACGAAAATCTTTGATGAAAAATCTAAACAACTGCCGCGAGCTATGCTCGCATTATTTGAACTTATTATTATTATTGTTATTGGACACCCTCGAGCAGTTGGTTTTCATATAACAATGTTAGTGTTTCGTTTATGCCACATGCTTACCCGGCAATTTGCGTGCACGTTGCAAGCAACAAAACGCCCGAGGCAACGACAATAACAACAACAACAACGAAAAGAAGTCAACGTGGCAAAAACATTTGCAACATTTGGTTGATGTCAACGCCCAACTGGCCCAGGCCCAGGCCCAGGCCAAAAGTCGAATCAGTCCATCAAATCAGGGCAACAATTTGATAAAAATGTCATAATTGAATCAAACTCGACGAGGAGGGGAGAGAAGAGATGAGGCGAGGAGCGGGAGCGGGAGCGGGAGCGGGAACGTGTGCGACTGGAAGTGAAACCTCCACCGTTTGAATGCAGCACGCACTTTGTGGGCGGCTGAGGTGGAATGTGGGCGTGTTCGGCTACTTTGATTGCCTTTCATATTATAGTTTTATGCTAATCCGAGATCTGCTCGGCTCGCGGCCAAAAGGTGTCGAGTTACGGCGAAAATTCGCTGGACCCAAGCGAAAACTATGTCGCTTGGCATTTTGGCAAACTAATTAAAATACAATAAAAGCTGAAGAAGCTCGAAAAATAATTTCCGCTTTTAATGCTCATTTCGCATTTTGTATACAAAACTAATTAATATCCTTGCGAGCCCCAAAATGCAGCCGCAGCAGCAGCGGCAGCTGCGAACAGGATATTTGTGCAAGTAATTTCCGTAGCTGAAGAGTTGTTTTCCCAGCAGCGCGTAATTAATTTATGCTAAATATACAACAACAACAACGACAACAACAACAACGACAGCAACAGAAAAGAACAACAACAATTGCTAAAAATTTGCGAAATGCAAATAAATTGCAAATTGTGCAAAATTGTTTTTCAAAATAATTAACTTTTCAGCGCTTTTAATTAAACATTTTTCGGCTCAAAATATACGCGGGCAGCTCAAAAAGTTCTGGTATTTTAAGAGGACGATCGAATGATTAACAGAAGACTGCCATCGTCTTCCGCCTTTCTTCCACACTTGCGAGTGAAAGCAAACAGTTTCATATCGATAAATATCGATAGATCCACAATCGATACGCCCTTCAAATTGTGTGGCGGAGTATTGAAATGGATATCAAATCTGATGCAAACCTGTGAATCGTCAGCTCCAATGAATTCTTACTCTCTGCCATGCTTTTTTCGCTTGCCAGCACTGAGTCTTATCGAAGCAACTGTCTTTCAAATAGAAATTCATTCAGTTGAGTTTTTTTTTTGATATTTCAAAAGTTGTGCAAGTTTAAGCCCTGTCCATAGTATTTCAGCCCCAAGAATAGCATTGAGGATGGGCTGTTGTTGGAGCTGCGCCTGTGTCAGTTCCTATTGGTGCTGGCTGCGGGACACCAATTGGTTCATTTGGATTTGGGCCGTGAGCGGCGCCTTGGTGGTGCTCTATAATCTGCACTCGGGCATCTGCCTGATAGAGTACATTTCGGGCTGCGGACAGGCAGGCGAAGAGACCGCAGCAACTGCTGCTGCTGCTCCTGGCACGAGCTCTAGCTTGGATTATGGCATCAGGCGTGGACCGCACACCTGGCGGACAGCCAATAACAATCAGAGCCCCATTAACATTGTTAGCCGGAGCACGGAGGAGGTCTGCTTTAGCCAGGCGCTCAGATGGATCGGCTACGATGATCTACCCGTGGGCATTCGCCTGGAGAACAACGGGCACACGCTGCTGCTGCGCGCCGCCTTCCAGGACGAGGAGACGCCCCATCTGGGCGGCGGCGATTTGCTGAGCTGCTTCAGCTTCCACGAGATTAGCTTCCGCTGGAGCTGGTACAACAGCACCGGGTCGGAGCACACGCTGGACAACGAGCACTTTCCGCTGGAGATGCAGTGCCTGCACACGGACGCCGCCAACACGGAGAACGCGTCCAGTCGAAGTCTGCTGATGGTCTCCTACATGTTTGCCGTGTCCGCGGAGAATCCTTTCATGGACGTGATCGTTCAGCATCTGGTCGCTGTGCAGCTGGCGGGCCAGTGCGTCGAGATACCGCCCTTTCCGCTCAACTATCTGATGTCGCCCTTCTATACGAACTTCTACAGCTACCACGGCTCCCTCACCGAGCCGCCCTGCCATCGCGGCGCCGAGTGGTTCATCTACCCACAGCCCATTGCCATCAGCGAGCGGCAGCTCCACGAGTTCCGCAAGCTGCGCAGCCGCAGCGGCGCTCGTATTGGACGCAATGCTCGACCAGTTCAGTCGCTGGGCGATCGAACTGTCAAAATCAATTGCTATCTCGCCTCCGAGTAGGGACGGGGCGACTCTGTAAATGCCATTTGTGCCAAATGCCAATTCATATTTTTACTATATTTTCATAAAAAAAGCAATTGGGTAATGTTTATTGATTTAATAGTCTATTATATTCGCAGGCTAATAGATTTATTAGATTGAGGCTGCAGGCAGGTGGGCAACTGTTAAAGCCGGGCATACCAATTAATTAAAATAATTAAGTTACCATAAATCGAACGTAAAACCCGCTTAGTTCTATAACAAAGAGTTATTGAACCTAGTCAATCTTTTCCCTTTCTTCATTTTGTTCTTAATTTATTGCTTTGAACCGGCAACCTCTCTCTGGCTATTCCGACGCTCATGCAGCAAAGCAAAGCAACATCCCGCACTCTAAAGCCGAGTCATAAATTGGAATCGAGAAAACTGCTAAGGCAACTTTTCCATCTTAACGAAGTTTGCTAAACATAATTATTGCTTAATTATTGTTACGAATAATTGCAATTAATAGATTTGTTTACATGTTTGATAATTGGGCTTTACTCTCGGCAGCAGCTAATTAGGCTGTCCGAGGCTGGGCGAGCGAGCAAATCTTCCGCACAATTTCATTGGATTCAAGGATTCACAGTTTGCGTTGCGTTCTAATCCACTAATTAGACGTTCAAAGAGCATTTAGGCAGCCGATGTCGATGCCAATGTCGTTGTGGACCGGCCATTTGGTCCTCCTCTTGGGGGCAGCAGGACGCCGCAGGATATGGCTCTGCGTTCAGTCATCCATGTGTTAGAATTTGTTGCTGTGTTTGTGTGCGTCTGCGTTTATAATTTCGTTAGTGCAAGCGGAAACTGTTGCGGACATGTTGCCCAGCCCGGAATGGCATTGGGATTGGGATTGGCAATGTGTGTCCGGTAACTGGGTTCTGCGATTCTGGGATTGGGCCTCCTGCGGTGATGCACCCTCGTTTCCAGCGCACACGCTCGCTCCCTCTCCCTCTCCCCTTCTCTCTCTCTCCCTCTCGCACATTTGGCAAGGCACATCATACACACACACACACGCACACACACAACTGTGTTGACTGTGTGCCCTGTTGTAGCTTCTAATTATCAGTTGGCCCTGCAGTAGTTACCGATGCGAGTGCACTAAGAGAAAAACAAAGTACCATATTATAATTAGAGTGGAACAAAATTCAAATTCTTTTGTTCTTAAAAGTTTAAGTCGAAGCGTTGGCACTCGACAGATTAAAAAAGATTAAATAATTGATATAAATGAACTATTAAATACTTGTAAAAAGAGCTGGAGGAGTAGAGAGTGAAGGAAAGGGAGAGAGAGAGAGACTGAGGTCGAGAAAGAGAGAGAGTTAAAAGAAAGAGTCAGGAAAAGGGAGGGATAAAGTAATTAGTTAACAATTTCTCAGATAGAGAGAAAGTTAGAGAGAGAGAGCAAGAGAAATATAAAAAGAGTGTAAAAAGTATTCAGGAGGTATCCTGAATCTCAGTCTGAGTTCTTAGTAGAGTGCAGAAGTATAGAAAGGGAGAATGAGAAAGAGAGAGGAACAGAGGGCAAGGGAAAGAAAAGAGAGAAAGATTAAAAGAGTGAGGATAATATTGAAAAAGTATTCATGATATAATATCACAGCTTGGGAAATAAGTAATGTAGAAAGAGAGAGAGGGAGAGAGAGGGGAGGTAGAGAGCGAATGGGAAACAGAGAAAGATAGAGAGAGAGAGAGAGAGAGAGAGAGAGAGAGAGAGAGAGAGAGAGAGAGAGAGAGTCTTAATAATTGGAATTAATTAATTAATTAAGCAATTAAGCTTGTAGAGTACAATTTGTCTATTTCGTTTGATTTTTTTCGTACCAAATCTTAGTATTTTCTCTAAGTGTACGCTTTTGCATATGCGTAGAATTCGTTCCACATAGAAGCGATAATTACGCTTTATGGGGGGCGGTATCGGGGTCAGGGGCGTAGGCGGGGGCGTTCTGTGCTATTTGCCTTGGACAAACCGAAATTGGAATGCGTGTTCGAATTGATGCATAGACCCAACTCTCCATATAACATATAACTGTAACTGTAATATATAATAGATATATAATCAGCTACAGGCGAGGCGAAGGCCTTTGCCAATTCGACTGCATTTGCTGCAAATCAACGCTAATGAAATTATACAAACAACTTTCGGTTGTTGTTGTTGTTGTTGCCCCATTTGGCCATTTGGTCGTTTGTCCATTTGGCCGCAGCAATTTGTCTGTTTTGGCAACTTAATTGAATTGCAATTTCACAAATAAAGCTTAATTTTTGGCCACGCAATCGATTCAGTTCTATTCGATTTCAAATTTAATTCTTTCGTCTAAATAATTATTGCGATTTCGAGCACTTTCGTCTGGAAAGTCCACAGAAAATATGCCAAATTGCAATTAAAATGGCTAATTGCATTTATTAATGCAAATAGTCGAATATATATTCGGGCCGCATCAAAAGATATGCAAATTTGTGCCGCCAATGTGCAATAAATATGAAAATGTTTTTATTTTCGCGAAAATTAATAATAAATGTTGCACGCGAAGAATGGCAATAATTAATATTATTTGTATACTGTTGTGTTTGAATACAAAATAATGCGCGCAATAAACAAATAGCGTGGTTTCTAATCAATAAACAAGGCTTTTGCCAAATTGCAAATAAATAGCAAAATTTTGTTGCCTAATTAAACGAATTTTGTGCAGCCAAATGAGAAACATATCAAACAATTAACTTTGTTATGAAAATGCGTTTTAAATTGTCCGAGAGATGTTCCTTAAATTCAAAAAAATGTTAGCTTTGTTTTAACATATGTTAAATGAGAATTGCGCATTGTTCCTTAAATGCAACATAACCTCAAACAGAAATGTTAAGCTAACAGCACTCTAAACTGTACCTACTGCTAGCCTGGCCTTTAACATAAGTCTTTATGTAAGCTGCACTTGTGAAACTAATTGCAAAAGTTAAAATCTCTTTTTGGTTATTTTAGCTAAAGTCAACGACAGTTTTATTGAGTTGTTGTTGTGCGACTTGTTCCTTAAATGCAACATTAACTTTAATATAAATGTTAAGCTAACATCACTCTTATCAAATGCTAGCCTTACTTTTAACATATGTTAAATGAGTCTGTATGTAAGTTGCACTTGCGAAAGTCTCTTTTTGATTATTTTAGCTGAAGTCAATTCAATTGGGCTGCTGCTCTGGATGGATCCTGCCCGAATCCTGTCTCAATCTTGAGTGTCGCTGTTAGACAAACATATCAATCAACATTCTAATTGAATGTAATTAGAAAAACGCATGAGCTGCCAAATCTTGTGCCTCGCCAGCCCCAGCAGCAGTGGCATGGCAGCCAACAGAAGCAAGTTTCAGTCGACCCAGTGCCAGGAAGCGCCACGTAGTTCGCTCTCAGCAAAGAAAATGCCAAGAAAATGAAATTAGACGAATAGAATGACGATGTAAGTGCCATGAAAAGACGTTAAGATGCTCTAAACGGAGGACTCTGCGAGAAGCAGACGCAGGAGCAGCATAGCAAAGAAGCAATGCTTCCTGATGAAGACGATGATGATAATGACGAAGAGGATGAAGATGATGAGCATGGGGAAGTAGAAGATGTTGGAGCTCTAGTGGTTGCTAAAATTGAGGTAAATTGCATTTAAGTGTTGCCGCTTTCATTTAGCTGCATGAATATGTATAGAGGAGAGCTGCGAGCTGCGAGCTGGATGCGGCCTTTGTGGCACGAAAATTGAATGAATAATTGAGAAAACGAGCGCATGATGGCATTAGTGTGTGATTGTGATTGTGTGTATATGTGTGTGTGCCTGTGTGTGTGTGTGTGTGTGTGTGTGTTGAAAATGCGCAGCTAATGAATTTTAATTGGTTTATTAAGGCAGCGCTTGAAGAGCATTCAACAAAAGAGCTGGCAACAAAAATCGCAGCTTGCTTGCTTGCCATTTATTTATATTTGTTAATTGGTGATTGTTAATTGTTAATCATTAAATATTGTTGCTGCAAAATCAATATGGCGGCTGACGATTAATTAACGCCATTTTGTAATTATCTGCGCATTTTTAATCCAATTAACTTTGCGTACGCAGCGGGCACCAAAATGAAAAGTACAACAAAAACAAAAACAAAAAAACGAATATCAAAAATGAATAATATGTCTGTCAATTATAAATATGAGTGCAAACAAATAACTGTAATTGCAAATTGTTATTGCAAAAGAAACCGCACTTGAAAAAAAAAAAAACAAACACGAACCAAACACAAAAAACTTCGTCAAATTGTGCACAACAATTTTTTACCCTGGAAATTAAATTGATAAAACAACAAAAAAAAAAAAAATAAATGGCAAAACTCGCTATAACGAACTCATTCTCTGCTCTGTGCTGTGCGCTCCGAGCTGTTGCTCTGCACTTGGTCCTTGCACGTCCTCACGCCCTTGGCGCACTTCCTTTTTCAATTAAACGCCACCATTTTCCATTAACGAATTTGCATGCATGTCTATGGCTATGCATGTGTGTGTGTGTGTGTATGTGTGTGACACACACACATCAGTTTGGTCTGCACCTGCTCTCTCGCTCGCACACATGCCTGTATTTCTATAATAAAATTAAATTAGAAGACCAGAAAATTAAATCATCAAAGCTTGACGTCTGGCGGCGGCTGCTGCTGCCGTTGCCTCCTGTATGCTTGTGTGTGTGTGTGTGTTTCTATCTCCCTCTCTCCAGCTGTCTCTGTATGCACATGTGTGCGCATAAAATGGCGAGGCACACACTCACACACACACACACACATGCGCCAGAGCCGGCCCAATTTGCGAAGCGACAGTTACGAGTTCATTAATTTCTCAGCCTGGCCTTTTTTCAGCGCCAGCTTTTCGTTCAGCGTCTGCATTTGTGCGCGCTGCGGTTGGAGCGGGCCACAACCCCTCGCACCCTCTCCTCCCCCTCTCTCTCTCTACATCGCCCTCCCTCTCCCTCTCTCTGCGTAGCGGGGTGTGAGCAGCATCATAAATTAAATTCTTCATCAACTCAAACTCGTTAAGCGCCAATAAAGTGACAGAGAGTTATTTTCATCACTTTTTCAATGGTCTACCACAAGGCGTGCTTGTGTGTGTGTGTGCGTGTGTGTGTCTGTGTGCGGCATACAATGCGCCGAAGCGCTCGCTGCGTGCGCTCTCCTTGACTCTCGCTCTCTCGCGGCTGACTGGCTGAAGCCACGCCTCTGCTCAAGAGCACAACTGTACAGCAGAGCGAGAACGAAAGAGAGAGCGAGTGGGAGCGAGACAGCAAGGCAGCTCTACTTAAATGAAAACGGGTTCGATTTTGCGCTGGCGCAGCCCGCTTTGATTTGAGGCCCGCGATAAGCTAAGTGCAGTCCAGCAAACCCGTCAAGCCGACTGCTCGTCAATGTCCCCATAAGCAGCCTACAGAGATCATATCGGACTGGAAAAAAAAACATATAAGACTCTACCATATGGACTTAAAATTGGGCATTCAATTATTGTTGTCGTCTGCCCGAGCAGCAGGCGCGGAGCCAGCAGCGGCATCAGACGCAGGGACAGCAGCCCATGCGGCGTATACGCATTTTATCAGCCGAGAACTTGGGCTAGGCATGCAAATAGACACAAGATAGACAGACGAAGAGAGCGGAAATTTCGAGTACATGCCCCGTTAACAGCTTAACGATAAAAGCAAACTAATTAAAAGTACGAAGCCGGAGAAATTGCCACATAATAAAGCAAATTAAAAGCAAATTAATTTAAAACAGCAACAACAATAACAACAACAACAACAGCTAGAAGAAGCAAACGCAAGCGAACGGAGCGAAGCGATGCGGATGTGGCGCAAATGAAAATGTGGCCAGTGTTGGCAACTCAGCTATTTTCTATCTAATAGTGCAGCAAACAGCTGATATTTTAAACTGGTTTAAGCGGGTTTTGTGGACCATTCATGTAAAGTTGTGCCTGTCTGTGTGCCAAGCCAATTCAGCTGTTTTAAGCTCATCTTAAAAATCGATTCAACTACTTTTTTTAAGCGACACTTGGCAGCACTTGTGCTTAGCAAGTTAATTTAGCTATATGCTTAAGCTACTATTAACACTGTTTTTAGCTACTTTCTTAATACCACATTTTGTAACACTGGTGCATAGTAAGCTTATTTAGTTATTTTTATACGTTTCCAACCCTGAATGTAGCTACTTTTTCTAGGTGACAGTTGACAACACTGCTGCTTAGCATGCGAATATACCAATTGACTATTTCTAACACTGGTTTCAGCTACTTTTTTAATGCCACAGTTGACAACACTGTCTGTGACGCAAGGCGGCTGCTGCACAAGCACACCAACACAAGCACACATACACACACACACACACACAGAGGGTATATGTATAAGGACAGCTATAGCCACACGCCCACCGAGCCATTCGCTCCACTTCAATTAAGCAACGCGCCAACATGGCAGACTCAGCCTCTCACAGAGCACTTTGCTCTCACACTTACACACTCACACACACACACGCACACACTAGCAGCACATAATTACGTTTGGCAAGCTCGTTATGCGTAAGAATAAACGCACATTAAGAGCTCATTAGTTGGCACAAATCGAATCGTTGGCTAAAGGAAACCCCTGACAGCCCAGGATAACAGGCTGACTGCCTCTGCTGGCTTCTTGTCTGCCCCTCTATGTCCCTCCGTCCCTCTGTCCGTCTGTCTGTCTGACATTTTCATTTAACGTGTAATGGAAGATAGCGTAAACGAGCAAATGAGTCGAGTGAACGGAATTGAATTGAATTGAATCGAGTTGAGCTGAGCTGAACTGTAAAACCGCAACTCATGCCAACAGGTATGAAAATGGGAATGCAATCGAAATGTTAAGACAGGACTCACAACTTCACAGCCCAGAGTGAAGTGAATGTTAAGCAAGAGAGCTTGAATTGGAATTTGATTAACTGAATTTAATGTTAATGATAATAATGATTACAACTATTTATTGCAACAGATTCAACTTATTTAAATGCAATTCTTTTGCCTGCTTAACTCAAATCCTTACCAATATTAAATACCCTTTATTTGAGTATATAATGGCTGCTTCATTATGAAAATAATTTAAGAAACGGGCTGAAAAACTGGGCTAAAATAAATAAATATGCATATATGTATTTTTGCCGTTTCTTTCAGTTCTATCAGTTGATTTGCTGCCGATCGCCCGATTGTTAACAATAGCAGGATATTAAACAAAATCCACTTATGAATGCAGAGGCGTAGCAGAGGGGGGCATTCCCCTCTTGACGCTATCAGTTGTTGGCCATCTTTGACCAGTTCGGTGCCAAGTTGTGCTCATAATTTGTTGCATATTGTGAGTGTCCGTTGTGTATTAGTTGCATGCCACGCCAAAGCTGAACAAAGCAGCTGGCAAACAAAAGGCAACACTTTCAACACACACGCGCACACACACACACACACACACACACACACACTCAGGCACAACAATGGGCCACAGCACGCGTGCTGCTCACTGACAAAAAAACAGACAGACACAGTTTTTGGGCTCTGCAACAACCCGCAACCCGCAAAGCAGCGCATGCGCTCTCTCTCTCTCTCGCTCTCTCGGGCAGTTATTGCTCTTGAATCCTGCCTAAGCTCCGCCCCGTAACAAGCACAGAGACACACACAGGCACACACACGCACACACACAACCGGTTTCCAATTCGATTGCGAGCTGGCAGCGTCTGTTGGCCGAAGCAAGTTGTTTATTGCCAACTCTGCCTTGGCACGGTGCGCAACGGTTGCGGCTCAGTTCGGTGCGAATATAAAATATTTGAATACTATAGTTGAAAGATACATTTATTGATGCCAGTTGCAGATTGTGGCAGCACGAAAATCGCGTCGAAAGTGTCGAAAGCCGTCGCTAAACTCTACTCAATTTGTGCTTGTGTGTGCGTGTGTGTGTGTGTGTGATTAAACAATAAATAAAAAATAAGTAAATAAAGAGAAAATAAACTAAAGTTTATTACCATGGATATTAAGACCACGGCCGTGACGCCGCCAGCCATGCCCGCTGTGGATGCTGCCGGCGCCCCGCTCTCGCCGCCGAGCAGCGGCCATCTACTGACTGCGGCCAGCCTGGAGCAGCAGCTGCAGCACAAGCAAACGTTCCAGCACATCTTCGAGCAGCTGGTGCAGCAGAGCGGCGGCAGCCAGAAGCAGCTGGCGCCCAAGCAGCTGGAGCACTTGCGCCATTTGCTGGGCAATGTGCGGGATGCCAAGAATTTGCAGCTAATTGTCGAGAAGTTCAAGAATCTGGAACAGTTCCAGGAGCACTACGCCCAGCTGGGCGGCAACAACAACAACAACACTGTGATCACAGAGGGTAAGTCGGTTAGTTAGTTAGTTAGTGAGTTAGTTCCCGGAAAGCGTTCGCCATTTACTGATTACCGATTTAATTAACACAAATTGTCGCTGAACATGAAGGCAGCGGCATATTGACAGCGGGCACTGTGCTTCAACGTGTGGCGTGTTCACAGACATGTTTTGCATTTTGAGGCCGCGTTCTTCGTTTCGTTTATTAACATGCGCCCGAGCTGGGCATTTAAAATAATTTCCTAATTATAAACTAATTGCCAAGGCATGCGAGTGGCGAGCGGCGAGCGGCGAGCAGCCTGATTCAAGGCTTTAACAAAGGCTCTGAAACATTTCCAGTTGACGTTTTAAGTTCGTTAAAAATGCATCAATTAAATTATCGACAGCAGCAGCTGGAAAAATGTTTACAAAAAAACTGTTGCCTACTTTTCAGCGGCTCTTGGCATGACAAACGCTCATTAGACGCACACACATACACACACACACACACACATGGCGAGCAATATGTCGCTTAGTTGCAATTACAGTTTTTAGCTCGTTAAAACTGTAAATAAAGTTGTGTCGCCTGTGTGTGTTTGTGTGTGCACAACATTTTAATACTTTCAAAATAACTGACAAAATTTGCATACACTCAGAGAAAAATACAGCTAAATTCTAATATACATAAGTTCTAGAATTAATAAGGATTTCCTCATGAATATTCCTGAATTAAGTACGAGTACGAAATCAAATAAGCACAAAATACTTTTTTCAATAATTCGCGGAAAACTTACTTCATAGAAGTACAAAATTTGAGTCTTGCATTTATGAAAGGAAGCTTAGTAGAAGAATTACTCTATAATTGAAAAAAAAAGAAATAGGAATTTCCCAACATAAAAGAGTTCTTACATTAAGAATTTCTTAACTCGCTTCGCGCACATAATTGCTTGCGTTTTTCTCTGAGTGTAGCTGCTGCTGTCGCTGCCGCTGTCGCTGCTGTCGTGTGCCTAATTGACTTTCCAAACTGTTGGCAAACAGGCTTTTAATTCTCATGCATGCAGCCCATGCCAGGCCAGTTCAGATCAGCTAAGCCGCCCCCGCTAACCAACCGCTTCGCTCAACTCTTTTTGCAGACAGCGAAATGTCGCTCAAGGACAATGCACGCAAATTCGGCGCTGGCGGTCAGACGCTGACGCCCCGCCACACAATCGACGCCATTCTGGGACTCAAGAATCGCAATGGCCAGGCGCAGGGCCAGCTGCAGGCAGCAGCCGAGGGCAGCGATGGTAAGTGCCACAAAGCAATCCGTTTCTAGGCCATAAATCAAGTGTGTATATGAGAGTGTGTGTGTGGCTATTATTAACGCATTACCCCAGCAATGTCAAGAACAGTGTTGTATAAGTGGCAACTGTAATCGGAATGCGATAAACGATGAGCGATAAGCGCAATGCAAATCGATTTCAATTACAGTGCAGCGCTGTGCGAAATCAACAAACACAATCGCAAAATTATATTAGCATTTGTTTTATTTTCTGATGCCCATTGCGAATTGACTAGAAGGGGTATAACAGGCAGAGGCAGGCATAGAGCATATAAGTTCTGGCCATCTTCTTCCATTTTCATAATATCGATAAATATCGATTTCAATAAATGGCCTTTCAAGCTTAGCTCGAAGACCGTAACAGGTAGATGTAGCCAACCTTGATATGTAGGTTCTCGCATAGCATTCGCAGCTAAGGTTTGTTACACTTATTGAATACTTTCTCCCATTTCCCAAAATTACAAAAAAATAGGCTCATCTTTAACGTTATAGCATTGTACTCTGGCATATGCACCGTTGCCATTTATGCCATTTATTTGAGCTTTAAACATTTTATTAAGATCGGACAATAAGCACCGAAGTGAATCAAGACTGATATTTCCATTGTTTGGGGCTAATGGGAAGAAGAAGCACCGCAGCAGCATTCTTTTATATGTAAGCTTGGCCTTAGGGTATTTGCTGGTCGTGCACTGCCCACTTAACAACTCCAGCTTGTTTCTTTCTTAGCCCGACTATCGCGTGGCCTGAAAGTCGTCAGACTTGTTCTAACTGCTACCGAGTCAGTAAAGCACCCACCCCCCACCCCCCTCTCTTGCACCACCCCCGCACTAGCCGAGCAACTGGCAACTGGCGTCTGGGGCTGCACTTTAGCGCCGCGTCGCGATGCACGACAACTGATAAGGGAAATCAGTCAACGGTAATCGTTTACATGGCCAAAACGGGATTAGAACTCAAGTTGGCAGCGTGGGCGTATTGGCCTCCGCTTCTTGGGCCAATTTAAAACTTTTATTATATATTTGGCAGTCGTTAGTTTGAAGGCTTTTTAACTGGATTATAGTTGGATTTATGCCGGTGCCAGTCGCCGCTGTGCACCCGCTTCCCAAACTGGGCTTAAATGGCCGCCCAATGCCCCTTATTTTTCCCCTCCTTTTTATTTTAGCACGTCGTTAAAAATGTATTTCATTTTTGTGCTCTGATTGCCAACAAGCGATTGTCGCACGCCCAGTTAGCAGAAATCTACCCAGAACTTGCGACTTGTGAAAAATGGGAGTTTCTTTTCACCTCAAAGCAGTTATTTCCTTTCTGGTAATATACGAAGCGTTGGCGAGTTAATAACTGCAATGGAAGTGAGAACAAGCTGGTAAAGGATGGCCGAAGATAAAATACCCCTTGCCAGATATTTCTATAAAGAACGATCTATGCCTGGATTCTTCAAGTAAGCTTCCATACTGAGGGACTCATTTGCATAACAATAGACAGCGCGAACTATATCGATACGGCTTAAATCTCTGATCAAGACTAAATAGCCTCTTTAAGCGTATAGAAGGTAGTCTTAGCTATTTGAATGGGACAGTCATCTATCCATCTATCTGTCTTAATGAAAACTTGTCTCTCTAAAAGCTAACTTCAAGCAATTTTGCAAAGGTCCGTCTTTTAGTGGCAGGCAGTACATAGGTCAGATTGGACCTCTATATCATAAAGTGGCCTTTGCTTCTGTTTTTCAAAATATCTTTTGGACTATCACGTCTTTACTCTACCTCCTCCCTCGATCAGCCTTCGAATATTTAAATAAGCAAATTAATAATTTTATCAAATTGATCAGCAATTTTATAATTAATCAACATTTTTCTATGCAAGTTAAACCAAGGCGTTAATTTTTTTAAATGAAATTCACTTAATTTAATAGAGTCTGACTTGATGCAATATACAAGCTATTGTTAAGCATTTCCTGCTCGTCACTTCGCTGTTTTAAAGAGTGCCAAAGGCGCAGACACGACGAAGCTGAAATCAATTAAAGACGTTTGCAATTAATTTAATTAAAGCATTGCGTCAAAGTGCTGCCACCGAAGATGCCACGCCAGAGGAGAGGCGCCTCGCAAGCCCGACTGACAGCAGCAGCCAGAAGAAGAAGAAGAAATAGCAAAAAACGAGTTGCGCAAACAAAATGGTGTTGTGCAAAAACAAAAAAGAAACGCAACGACAAAAGCGCAGGTTAAATGGCCGCAAATTAATTAGAAGCCAGCAAATAAGCTGGCTAATAAAGGGGTTCGGGCAAGTGCCGAGGGGTTGATGGAGGGGGGTGGAGGGGGTTAACAGGCATAAAGCGAACAACTGTAAACCGGACTGAAACTCGAAGTCTTAACCATAATTGAAGCGCGGCTAGACGCAAGCTGTCAAAAAGCATTTAAACTGACAGCGCGCTGCGGTGGCGTCACAGCCAGAAAGAGAGAGAGAGAGAGAGAGAGAGAGAGAGGGAGGGAGAGGGAGAGGGAGAGTTACTCATTAAACGCATAAAAGCATTGGCTGCACAAGTGCAACACGCACTGCAAACGAGCCAGTGTTGGCAAATGTTGCAGCAAAAAGCGAATATCTACGGCACGCTGAAGATTTACAAAATACCTTATAAATACAAATCTTGATAAGATTCTTAAGATCATATATAAGCTGTATAAATAAACATGTCCTTCTGTGCTTTACGCACATCATGACAAATCTTTAACTAAAATTAGCTAACTCTGCTTTAAAAAAAGCTAAACGGGCTTAAAATGACAACTGTGTCCGGCAGTAAAGCTATGAAAGCAGCGAAATTTGGCTGGAATATGGCTGAATGGACAGCACTGAGCTAAGTGGAGGCTACATCGCCGCATTTAGATTCAAGATAAACAGCAACAACAACACCAACAACAACAACAAAGGCCAAGTAGCTGAGCTGTGGATCGATTCATGCACACACAAGCACACACACACACTCACGCACACACACACACACACACATTCAACTGATGCGGCATTAAATTGAGCATTAAGTCACTTTAATGATCTTAATGCGTGTCCGAAGCGAGCTAAACGCGCGTCGGCGTTGCATGTTGCCCGCTGCCCGCTGCCCGTTGTCCGTTCCCCGTTGTTGTTGCGGCTTATTAGCCGCTTTGTTGCCACAGTTACAACAACAGAAACAACAACAACAACAACAACAGCGACAAGAAGAAGAAGCGAGGCACTCCACTTCACTTTAACACGAATTTGATTGACAGTTTTGTTTATGGCTTGTTTGATTTTTTGATATGAGCCCGATATCTTGTGTATCTGAGCTGCGCCTGCGCCGGAAGATGCCAAATATGTTGTGCATTTCCTTTTGTTAGCCTTTAGCCACAGGTAGAGACCTGTTGCCAATGACTTTCCAAAAATGTGCGACTAATAACATTTCAATTAGGCCGCCGCCTAATGGCCAACTTATTGCTCTTGTGAGAAACTGTCAAATCATTCGCTTGACGCGATTAACGTCAATTTGGACCGGCAGGGCAGGCTCGGCACAGTAAACGCTCGCATTGCCGCAATTTGGAGCAAACTATGTTGGCTAGGCCCAATCCTCACTGTACAGTACAGCATCTGCTTGAGCCACGCTCAATTAGAGAAGGCGGACAACTGCAGCTTAAGCCTCTTGTCAGTAGCTGACTTAATTTGAACCTTTTAACATTTCAACTTTGCTTCGTTTTTTGTTTTTCTGTTTTGTGTTTTGTATTCATAGTTAAATTGTTAACAAGCCGAAATTTCCAGCTGCCAACTTTAATTGCCACAGCTAATGGCCAAGAGCCAACGCAGAAAGCAGCAACAAAATCAAAAATCATTTCTTAATTGAACTGTCGATCAGGCAATTTGCTCGAGACGAATACTGAATGAATACTGAATACTGAATAGTGAATAGTGAAAAGTGAATACTGTTTGCCTGGCATTGAATTGAAATGAAAAAGCAAAGAAAACCCGAATATCAATTTGTACTCACAACTCGAACCGATCTAACAGAATGCATTCGAAAGGTTTTGCACCAAAATGCGCAAATCGAACCAGCTCGAACCGAATGTGAAGCAAATGCTGGACTATGTTTCATAGGGGCCACGCAATACTCGACTATAATGCAAATAAAAAACCCTATTTCGGACTTGGTGCCATATTCTCACGCGAATAACTGGCACGTGTGAACTAAACTTTACGCAAATTTAGTCATATTTACAGCTCGGCGTTTGAATACTCAGTGTGCGTGTGTGGATCGTCATTCATTCAGCTCAAATTTGTGTTGGTCTTTTTTTTTTTTTGGTCTCAAGCTCACGCAATTAACACACGCACTCCGTGTGGCCCATAGTGGTTCCCTTGGTGCTCGGTGCTCGGGTCCGGACATGGACATGGCTCCGGGTCTGAGATTGCGGCTACTGGCGCTGCGTGGCACCTCATGTGGCGTTCACGCCTTTTGTAAATGCTGTTTTCTATTATTACATGTTTATTATTATTATTTTTTATTATTATTATTGTTGTTGTTGTTTTTGTTGTTGTTGTTGTTGTGCGTGTTGGCCTTTTGTGCTACCGCATTTTGTTTTTTTTCTTTTCGGATTTGATTTTTAATTTCTTTCGAACAGTTTTTGTTAATTTCATTAACGCCACAGTGGCTCAAAATAAAACGCATGCGGTGCGTGTAAATTTCGTTTGATTGCTCAAAAAGCAACGGAGGTTAATTCAGGGCATTTTTTTTTTTTTTTTTTTTGACTGCCGATTTTCAGTTAATTAGCCAAACATTTGACCCAATTAGTTGCTGGAAACTGTGTTGAGAAACAACTGAAAATCAATAGTCCAAATGAATGCCAATTATTGAAGTAATTACATTAGACAATCATCAGAGCTGTGCTTGTGTAATCGAACCAAACAGCCTAGACAGTCAAATGCAAATTAAATTGGTATATACTTTATAAGTACATCAGAAAGCAATTACACAAAAGACTATCGAATAATTATAGGTATTTGAGGGCAGCTGAATGGATAATTGGATTTCTGACGCCGCCAACAGTTTTGAAAACCTAATTTAACACAGAAATTGAATTTGCTTACACAACCCAACTGCAAAAGTCAGTGCAAACAGTCGTCCCCCCTCGCACCTTGCCCCATCTCGAGTCGGCGACAAACTAATGACTTCCTTGCATGTCACGTGATATGTGTGCTAGCGGCAGCCAGAACGCCCATTAGAACCAGCGACTTTTCCCACCCCATTCAATACAGTTCGCTCGCAATAGTTTATACCAGTCGGTACAGCTTTGGCCTTCGGCATTTGGGAATTTCTGGGAATTTTTATTGCCTCACATTGTAAATACGCGGCGACTAATTGAATGCCGTTTATTAATGGGCTGCCCAACAGGTGTGGGAGCTTGTGCCAGGCTCTAGATGGGTGGCTGTTTGATTGCAACCCAAAATTAAATAACACATTGTTATTACCGCGCGTCAGGCTTTTAACCACATGGGCAGCGACAGCTTATGACTTGGCCAACTGTCCGCCAGCCCTCAAAGGCTAATTAAAATCTAATCAAGCGCCAAGCAAATGGTAGATTATGTTACAAGGCAAAACCGAGCACTGTCGAGGACACTGTGTACATCATGATTTAATTATATTCCCGTGACCCGGAACCAGTGCCTGTTACATAAAATGATGATGGATTTACTAAGTGTGACAATTTAGAGTCTGGCAAGCGACTCATAGATACCCTGTGATTTGGTCAACTGTGCTCCTGGCTAAGTGAGAAGTCAAACATCTATTTCAGTTGAGTTCGGAATCGGATCAATCGAAAGGAAAAAACAGCTGGAACCTGTACCAAGCTCGACTTTTGCGGTTGTGTGCGATCTCGAACATGTTGCTGACTCAAGCAGTTCGAACTGTGTTTGAATGAATGTTGGTTCAGTTCTGAAGACTTGTTACTTCATAAATCGTGTGAATATCCGAGTTTGATGAGAACGAACCAATAGGCAATATAATACCCTGTAATCTAATGCTCTGTATGACTTATGCCCCGTATGCTCTATTTACATTTGTGTTTCGTCTACTTCCTGCAGGTGATGGTGATGGCTCCATGGCCGAGGACGATGCCACCGATCTGCGCTGCAACATGTCGCTGGCGCAGCTGCGCCACATGGATAATCACATGGCCAACATGCTGCAGCAGCACGCCAAGAATGGGCTCAGCTATGGCCCGCCAACACCACCAGCGCCGCCGCCGTCGCAGCAGCCGCCGCCACCGCATCATCATCATCATCAGCAGCAGCATCACGGCGCCATGGCTGGCGCTCCGCACGCCCCATTTGGCTACCACAATGCCTTCGGATTTGGCCACGGACACAACAGTCACAGCCATCATCTTGCGCATAGCTTTGGGCAGCAGCAGGAGGACGCGGCGGGCAATTACCTCAACTCGATGCACCAAATGGTCGAGGCCAATCAATTGCAGCCGTCGCAGGTGTCCGCGCCGGTGCCGGTGGCGGGGCCGGGGCCTGCGCTGCCTCCCCCCGGCGCCTATGGCAGCCATCAGCAGCACTTGGCGGCGCTGGCTGCGCATGCGCAGGAGCAGCACAACAAATATGCCAAGTCATCGTCGCCAGCCACCGCCGTCGCTGCTGGCAGCTACTTTCTGCCGGATGTCGCAGCATCAACGGGCGCAGCAACAACAACCACGGCAACAACAGCAACTGTTGCGCAGGCGACAGCAGCACGCGACTACGACGAGCGTTCAATGTCCTCTACCAGCGAGCTGGACGACGAGGAGGATGATGCGGCAAAGCTGCAGCACGACGGCAACATTAACATCGATGTAACCTCACCGCCCACACCCAGACCCATGGGCAGCAACAGCAGCAGCAACAACAACAGCAGCGGCAGCGGCAAGCGCAAAGCCTCCGCCTCTGCCTACTGTGATGATAATGAGCCGAAATTAGCCAACGGACAGCAGCTGGGTAATTATGGCATCAGGGCGCGCAGCCTGGACGAGGTGCAACAACAACAACAGCAGCAGCAACACTTTCCACACGAATATCGCAGCAGCAGCAGCAGCAACAACAACAACAGCCAAGTGGAGCATGTGGAGCGTCTGAATGGGGACAACGACAGCCTGGTCAATGGCAGCTGCGCCTCCAGCGAGGATCTCAACCAGACCAACAACAGTGAGCAGGGCGAGAAAATCACATCCGGCAGCGATGATGAGGGTAAGTTGCAGTTAGCCTCGCTCCAACTGCAGCTCATGCTCTCCCCCAATCTCTCCCAATCTACACTCTCCACCTTCAGGCCAGGACGAGAACTGTGCCAAGAAGAAGCATCGCCGCAATCGCACCACCTTTACCACATATCAGCTGCATGAGCTGGAGCGCGCCTTCGAGAAGTCGCACTATCCGGACGTCTATTCGCGCGAGGAGCTGGCCATGAAGGTGAATCTGCCCGAAGTGCGTGTCCAGGTGAGTAACGGCCACAGCCAGTTGATACTTTACCAGCTCCGATTTATTTGCGAGCTGACTTTGCTAATTGTGCAATCAACATGTCTGCTCAGCGAGCGCCGGAAATTAAATAATTTCCGTTTGCAATTTATTTTAACGAAATTAAGTTGTGCCAACTTGTGTAGAACGCCCAATCCAGACACCTCTCCAGACAGATCCTAGCTGTGCTCCAATATGTTTTGGTCAGCTCGACAAGGATTTATGCCTGCAGCAGATTTATTGGCCTGCAAGTGCTTTGCATACTTGTTTATTCATGAAATTTAACAGCTGGCAGAAGAGAGGGTTGTGTATTTTCCCATAAACAGTGAATCATGCCTCAAATAAGTGTTAACATAGATTTCGGAAAATGAGCTTAAAGCAGAGCAGGAATTTACACGTGTTCCACCAATTTTCCACGCTTGCGGGTGAATATCGTCATTTACGTTAAGAAATGAAACAACTGTCCAAAAGTGCAGCTTGATAGAACTTAAAGCTTGGCCTGTGCGTTGATCATCAGTCAGTCAGTCAGCCAATCAGTGAAAGGACATAGACAAGTTATTCTCATAGATTATATTGCTCTCCTTTTCTTCGTTTATTTCTTGCGCATTCCAGCATGTATCTTTTCGCCTTTACTGATCAATCAGTCAATCAGTGAGAAGAAAGGTATTTATTTTCATAGATTCAATCAAGCATTCCGTTTGCAGAAATACCTTTATATTTATTCTGGTTCTACATAGTTTTCTTGCACCATACGGTACATTACATAAATTTTCACTTCAATGATCAGTCAGTCCATCAATCAGTCACTCATCACTCTGCCTCTCTCTTAGATTTCTTGCACCTGCCAGAATCTATCATCTATCTATGATCATTGTAGGTAATAACTACAATGATCATCAGTCAGTCAATCGCTCAGTCAGTCAATCAATTATTCAGTACAAATATCATTAAATGCTCTCTCATAAATTTCTTGTACCTTTCAGTGAAATAACATTCATAGACTCAACCTTCCCCTCACCCATTGTCTGGGCCCCGGAAGGAGTAACTTTTTCGCAGCAAAAGCAAAACTTGCGCAACTTTCTTTCAGTGCATATTAAAATTTATGTCTCAATTGCGAAATGACAATGCAAATGACAAGGCTCGCGGTCTGTGCTACCCATATTCATGCTGAAGAAATTATGCACTTTATGAGAATATGCGCCTTTTGCTTTATGCTCGGCCCCGCGAATGCATGTCTGGCAGCCATTCGATTCGGGTGGCAAATTGCGACATTAACGGGCGGGGCGCCTCGTAAATTCCTTTCACAGCCGTGTAGCATAAAAGACGCCCAACTGAGGCCCAAAAGCAGGGTTAAGGAAGTTTTCAAGAATTGAAGGGTTCGACTGGCATTATGTAACCATATCAATGGGCTAACAGATATTACCCGGCGTTGCGTGGGTCGCCTAAATTTCTATATGTTACTTTTTTCTTTGTGAATAATAACAAATTGTACAAACAAAGTTTAAATTTGAAAATTTGAGCCGCCAACCTCACATTTGCTAGTTCGACGCTCAGTATCTGCTTTTTATGGCCATCTAATTGCATAGCTGCACACTGGACTACAGTTGCCTTGTGGCATAGTTTTATGTGTTATTCTTAGCCATAAACTGTGGGTAGCTAAGGCCCGGGCTCCGGGCAAAGGCCGCAGGCGACAGTCAGATGACGGCAGAGGACATATCAAATTTCATGAAGTCGTTTCCTCAGACGACAAATCATTTTTATTGACTAAACATTATCGTGCCGCAACGGTTGCAACTTCGCGGCGACACTGACTTTCGCTCTGCCTCTCCCTCCCTTCCACTCTCTCTCTCTCTCTCCATCTCTCTCTGCCTGGCAACACAAATGTATGCACATAAATAAATAAACAAATATACAAAATCCGAAATACCAAGTAAATATAAACGAAATACAAAAGTAATGAACGAAAATCGTATAAAAATTTCTTGCAACGCCGCAACGCTGCGATTTATCCGCGTTTTTCTAGATGGCGTACGGCCCTCATGTGTCACTTTGTCAAATTGACACGAATTCAAATTATGCCACAGCCCAGGAATACCCCTGCCCAACTCACCCCCAGCCACTCGATCCCGTGACCCTCGCCCCTGGCAGCACTCAGTGTATGAGCCGGGCGCGTCCCCAAGTTTAACTCGTTTTTTCGATTTAGTGGGCACATTTTTTGGTCTGCACAAAGGTCCTGACTGTGTGTGTGTGTGTGTAATCACATTTGCGGTTAGTTTGCATGAAGTTCTAGTTATCGTTTCGGGCTGGGAAATTGCTTGGTGTGCAACTCGTTGAAGGTGGAAATTTGTTTTGATTAAGTTTGTGCACACACACACACAGAAAAAAGAAGCTCGTAAGAATGTTGAAAACGGATGCTTACGACTGCTCAATCCTCGCTCACAGTCGAACTTTTTAAGATACATAAATTATTGGAACGATCCTTAGAGTATCAGAGCAGTCATCTATCGGGTATACATATGTACATGGACTTTGCCATCTATTGAATGTGAATAGGCGCGAATATATATTTCAAATTGCAAGTCTTTTTATTTATGCTTAAAAGCATTTGGTACGAAGGCAATAAGTATTTTATATGTGTGTGTGTATGTGGGCATGTGTGTTAGTGTATACATGCATATATGTGTGCACTTATGTATGTATCATATACATATGTATGTATGTTTCCTAATATCAAACGCAGACCAAGCTTATTTGACGCTGTGCAAATTTCAATAAAACGAATTTCTACAAAATGCTCTTCTCCTCGATTCTCAAAATATGTATATATGTATGTATGTATGCATGTATGTATGTATGTATGTATGTATGTAGGTATATGTATACATGTATCTATCTATGTATGTACATATGTATGCATTTACATATGTATGTATGTGTATGTGTATGCTAGTGGAATTTTTCGAAACCCCGTCTAAACGTGCACCTTCATCACATAAGGTAACTGCAGTGAATTTTAGCCTCCCAGGTCTTACGATTTGGGCTGTGCGTGTGATCACCAAGCAGTCAGTCAATCAGTCAGTCAGTCAGTCAGTCAGTCAGAGACTTCGAATATACGAATATACTTCTTTCACAAGCAAATGAAACCCTTAGGAGAAAACAAACTGAACTATGGAAAACCTCGAAATGGAATGGAATGGAACTGAACTGAGTTGTAAGTGGGCCGGGCCGGGCGCACGTCAAAACGAATAAGAGGCAAAACTCAAACCCAGACCAGAGTGTAGAGTCAGTCAATCAGTGAGCCAATGGGGCAATATTCGGCAATTTCTCGTTTAGATGAGTTCATTTTGGGGCTCTGCTTGTGGATGGGCGCGGAGAAGGAGAAGGGAGTTCGGCTTTGGGGACATGCATTGTAATAGATTTGCTAAATGTTTGTTTAAAAAGTTTGATTGGATTTTGCATTTGATGCATTGTGTTGCTGCTGTTGCTGCTGTTGTTGCTTTTATTTGTTGTATTGTGTGCATTTTTGTGGCTTTTTTGATTGTTGTTTAAATGGCCAATATTGCCTGCCACTCGCTTACATTGTAATGGAGCAGTTGCGTCACGAAAAACAAAATTCAAATCAAATTGAAATTGTGTCATTTGCGGTTACTCTTGGCAAAGCAATTAATCTGCCCAACCACAAGGGGGGTAACAATATCCAGAGAGAGAGGGAGCGAGAGAGAGAGAGAGAGGAAGGTCTACTTGGAGTGGCGGCTACTCGGCTTAGGCTCAGCTTATCTCAGATCGTAACCAAAACAAAACGCGCTAAGCCGGCAAATTAAACAACAGATTAACGAGCTAAACAACCACAAAACATAGACACGACCTCACAGACACATCATTAACACTGCAAAAACACAGCGAGTCCATCAGCTGCCTTTTCTCTTCCTTTTTTTTTTGTTTAGTTCCTTTACGATGTGAGCCCGAACATATGGCCCGAAAGTGGCGCATAGATGACAATTATTTTATTTGGATTACACACGCTGACAGCCGGCAATTTGTATCGAGGGCTCTGACAGAGACATTTCTTGGCTCGATTAAGGGTTAAATGTGCTCCAATCACACGCCGTATTAAACACAATCGAGTTGAGCAAAGACCGAGAAGCCCGAGCCAGACAGCCAGCCAGCAAGAAAAGAGTTTAATTAAAACCTAATTTAGCATGGCAAAGCAAAGCAAATCGCAAGTTTAATCACGCTCTCAACTCTGCTCTGCGGGGTTGATTGATGGTTCTCTGTAGCTGAGCTCAAATGTGTCTCTAAATATAACACTAAATAAATAGAAATGCCAGCGCCAATTGACTAAACGATTAGCTCAAGAAACAAGTAGTTTATGGAGAATTCTTTAATGTTTTGTCGACTACGGCCCACACATATTTTCTTGAATTCATTTATTCCAGGACTGCCTTATAAATAAGTGCACATAATTCTCGAAATTGAGTAAATAAAAGTTAGTGCACATTATTTGTAATATGAACAAAAAGCCGAAAAAATATATTTAGCTAAACTTTCGGAGCATGCATTGCGTGTCTTGTCCATATAGAAAAATAAATAAACATAGTTTGTTCGCATTGAGTGCGTTTCACAAATAGTTATCGAGCATCGGCAATTTTTATAATATTTTATATTATTAGTAGCAAAAATAAACAAATGCTAAAATGCCAGTCAATTATTTTGCATGGCCAAATGATTAAATATCGTAAAACTGTCAAAATATGTCAAGTAAAAATGCCAGGCAAAGGAAAACATTTAATATGCACAAAACATACATGTGAGAAATGTTTATTTATCTGCATATTGCGCATACGACGTGTGTGACGTGACTGTCGCCTCGCTGTCTATGTGTCTGTGTGTGTGTGTGTGTGTGCATGTGTGTCTGTGCATAAAAAGCAAACAAATAAAAATGTCATTTCTCTAACAAATAAAATAGATTTTTATTGCATTTC